AAATATGTATTTCAAACGACTTGCCAATCCAAAGAACACATATCAATGTATCACTGATTCTGTTTGAATGTCCCTAACTCGCAGGTAACAAAAAAATATCGGTTCGTGAAATTTTACTTTTTTTTGTGACATTCGGCCGTACCTCAGTGGAGTACCTTTAATAAGTTGTAGCAAATACTTTTCGATATATTGGACATGAAATACATAAAATATATAAATGTGTAAAATTCTACTTGGATAAATTTGCACTTGACAGCAGCTCTCCATTATGTTTAAATTTCATACTGTGTAAAGATCTGATCAAGGTAAAAAAAAGTCCTCATGCTAACTGTTTTCCATATACATGAATGGTTTTGTTTTCTAAGGACATCTGCTTTTTGTGTTTAAATGATGAATTCTGCTTAAGTCAGTGCCAGGGGGCGCAGACGGTAATTTGCATTTTTCAATAATTTTCATAAACAGGCTCCATCAAACCGAGCCTGCAGAAATTTCAATTTTGTCGTTTAAGGCGTTCTTTAAGGATTCTGTGTTTCTCTATTAGATGCTTTCTGGTCTGTCAGTTTTGTATGTATACACTGTGACAAGCGTCTTATTAAACATGGCTACAAATCTACCGTGATAACGCCAAAACTATTATCAAAACAAATGGGAAATTGTTTAAAAATATTGTCCAGTACATAAATGTCAACGTGAAACGTTTTTACAATGTCAAGATAAAGATATTAGAAACAAATTTTTAGATAATTGAATTGTACTAAGATAAAACTATAATAGAGAAAACAGAATCCCTAAAGAAAGTCCAACACAACAAAATTGAAAATGTTGCAGGCTCGGTTTGATTGAGCCTGTTGGAAAGTGCAAGTTACCGTCCACGCCCCTTAGCACCGGCTTAAGCAGAATTCAACATTTAACACGAAAATGGTGAAATTTTGAATTTAGAAACATCCGTAGATGTGTTCATACGGCGGTTATCATGGAACCTTCAATGTGACACAGTAGTGCCATTCCATAAAAGCGGCGTATGGTCCCCAAGTAAAAAATATGATAAACAAGATCAACAAGGAAAGGCGGCGTTCAATGAATGCTTTTGCCCTAAACGAGGAAACAATGGGCGGAACTAAATAAAATGGAATTTTGAAAGGAGATCTGAGGTTATGAAGCCTGCATTTCACAGATAAGACGTCAAAAGACAAATTTAAAAAGCAGGCAACATATCCTTAGGGTGCTTATACAGTATTCATGTAGGAATACTGGAACCACCCAAGTTAAAATGGCCAAAAAGAAGAAACTAAAAGTACCACATAACATGTATACACAACAATAATGTCGTGCTGAACGATCTTCAAGGATCGAAAATATAACATCATTGATTAAATGTACGGGGAGACTTTTTACAGCCGCCACACGGCACAAATAACACGGATGTGACAATACAATAGAGAAAAACAGAATCCCTAAAGAAAGTCCAACAAACAAAATTGAAAATGTTGCAGGCTCGGTTTGATTGAGCCTGTTCATGGACGGTACTGGAAAGTGCAAGTTACCCTAATAAATAAAACTTTTCTACAATTTTAATGTATATCCTGAAATACCTATATTTTCATCAAATTGGTTTTCGAGCACAAATTTATTTGTTAGGGATTCTTCTTTTCTCTTTTTCATATTGTCAGAATCATTTAAACATTCTTTAATACAGTTTAACAAAACATATACATTATAAAATTTAGATTTATTCCGTGTATATTCCGACAAATATACATGGTCATACACATGTGTATCTAAGGAAAAAGCCATGATGTATGGATAACTAGAAAGGTTTTTGTCACAAAAACACATGTCTCCCAAAACTATGGATGGTAACTCATGAAGTTTCATTGAAATCACACCAGTAGCTTGACCATTGAAAGCCAAACAAGATTTTTCTATTAATAGATCAGACGGCCATTTTGTGCAGCGAATATTGTGTGTACAACTAGGAATGGTACTAATCACTCCTGTAGTCTGACCTGTGAAGGGCGGTCAAGCTAAATGCGGACGGACGGAAAACCGGACGGACAGACAGATAGCGAAGGCAAAAATAATATGTGTCCCCAAAATTTTGGGAGACATAATACCTTTTAAGTTTTGCAGAGTATTTAAAACCCAGAAATATTATTTATTTCTATAAAAATATAGTAAGTAACAAAGTTTTAGACGTTTTCAACATTATTTTGTAATGTGTAATTGTTTATTTACATTATTTCTGCCGGTGCTAGGGGGCGTGGACGGTAACTTGCACTTTCCAGTACCGTCCATGAACAGGCTCAATCAAACCGAGCCTGCAACATTTTCAATTTTGTCGTGTTGGGCTTTCTTTAGGGATTCTGTATTTATCTATTTTGCAATTTTGCATCTGACGATGACAAAATTGCTGGTAATTATACTATTAACATATTTGTTTACAGTTATTAAATACGCACAAAAGTTAAATTTGCAGTAGATATATACACCCCGATTATCACAGCAAATGCATATAGAACTAACTTTATACATGTCAGTATAATAGATGTCAGTTTTAAACCAGAATAACAAGACATGTTCGCTTTTTGTGTATTCTATAGCCATATTTTTCTATATCTAAAGGCAGCATTTTTCCGCCAAAATAGGACGGGTCCTGTACCCACCAAATTGGGGATTTTTGAGTCATGAAAAGGGCCAAATTTGCAAATTTGGCATAGTAAAATGAGGGAAATTGAAAATTTTATGTCAGGTTTATAATAACAGTATCTGCAGGAAATGTGAATCATTCATCTTTCTTAAAATTCGAAATCATTTCATCTAATTAACAAACGTGACAAATTTTACATTAGTTTCATTAAAATCAATAAATATTTGTTAGAGTTATGTACACCGATATTTCTTTTAACATAATATTATAACGGATACCAGATTTTATCCACCAATACCTTATTAAGTAATTGTTACAACTTGTAAAAAGTTAAAATAACACCGGCCTGTAAAATCAGGAGAATTTGAGTACTCCATAATGTTAACCGGTCTCTCGTGTAGATACTTGACAACAGTAACTTATTCCCTTGCCCTTTCTGCAGTTACACTTTCCCTGGCATCGGTAGTCATGTTCTCCCCCTGCCCCCAGCAGTCTAGCAAACGCCTTTTAATGGCACATTCACCAGGTCCTTCTTGTCTACTGGTCTATAAGACGGTTGCACCAATGTTGACTCAGGAGCAGGTGTATCTGATTAGTATGTAATTGCACGAGGTGGAATGGTCCACTAAAGTCGTCTACCCTCCTTGCTACTTTCGAATATTTGAGTAACGTTTTATCTTGTAAAATTGATAAACAAGATCAACAAGGAAGGGTGTCGTTTAATGATATCAATAAAATTTGATACACAAGATCAACAAGAAAAAGCGGCGCTTAATTAACGCAGTAATAAAAACCAATGGCAAGGAGCCCTGGATGACCAAACTGAATCCACCCTACATTAAGAACAATTTATTTCAGTCTCGATGGTGGTCTTGAGGGTTTTTACAGTATATTGAAAATCAATGTTGAACCCCCCCCCCCCCCAAGGTGGGGTTAATTTGACTTCAGGGCTATAATTTTAACAGATTCAGCAGAGGTCTACTAGATTATGTTTCATATCTAAGAACTTAGCTTTAGCTTTTGTAATTAAAGGGGAGATTTTTTGTAAAGTGTTTACTATTTACAAACAATGTATAAGGAATTTGAACAAGTTTTAGGGATCTAAATACAACGTGTATTGTTTTATATCAAAGATATAGCCCTTGTTATTTCCGAGAAGATTTTCGAAAAATTTTACTATATGAGGAAAATCAATAATTCCTGGGACGGGCTCAATTTTGACAATTTTTTGTAAAGTTTTCTTTACATGCTTTAACCAATTATTGCAGGAGCATTTTGTAAAAATGGCTGTTTTCATTGAAAAGTCTCCCGTTACAAGTTCAAATTGCTATAAAACTATAAAAAATCCTTCAATACTAATCACACTTGGTGACGATTGCCGTTGTAACAACATGCTTAGTCTTAAATTTCCTGTTACCATGGCAACGAAAGGACATCTCAAAATTGCCAGAAATCACTATTTTGCGTTGATTTTTTTCATCAAAATTGATTTCAAAGTGCTGCAACTTCTCAATGGGTTGAGATAGACTCAAAGGCTTTTCAGCGTTGGTTACATGTTACCTTCTGATCGACCTGGGGTCATTTTTAGCCTCTCAAAAGTCCAAAATTTAATTGGCGATGAGGGGGGCTGCACATCCCCCTTCTAGCAACACCCTGACGTATCTTTGGAAAGGGGCGGCGAAAAAGTGCTCACTTTTTTAAACAACATTTCTCAAACAAAAACAAGTCATTGGGGTATAAAAAAGGCATTTTTCACCATTTGAGACAACAAAATGGGGGTGGGAGGTGAAAAATGTGTTGAAAGGCGTGTATATTTGGTAATGGGTTAATGAGGCTTTACACAAAATATCTAAGCTCAAGTTCTTGCACTTGAAAAGAAGAATATTTTTAAAGTTTTCATTTTAAAAATCTATTATATTTTAGCCCTTCTGACCTAGATGTTTAATGGAACAGAACAATATGAACACTTTTAGTAGAGCTTTATGCTAGGAACATCAAAGGATTATATTTTTTTTTGTTTGATTTTGGTTTTACGTCACACCGACACAGTATATGTCATTTGACGACGTTCCAGCTTTACTGGTGGATGAAGACCTCCGGTGCCCCTTCGTGCATTTTTTCAGGCACGAACGGGCACCTGAGTAGAACCACCGACGTTCCGTAATCAAAGGAAAATTACATCCAATTTGAATCCGGTGGCTTCTGACGACGGACGCACTAACCGACAATGGACGCCAGACAAATTGTGATCACAAAAACTCATATTGAGCCCTCTTTGGGCTTAAAACGGTTTTAATGGTTTATTCTTGGAGTGTTTCCATCATTTAGAAAGACAGAAAGCAACAACAGAAAATCAGTATACAGCATATATTGTGCTCTCTCAAGTATTTGTTTGGTGTCCTTCAGGGCTCTTTGTCTGTAGTCCTGTGTGGCTTGGTCATGTGGGGTTGCTTCGAATGAATGCCACTCTTCCTTGTTTATCTTGTTTTTCGTCGTATTTTAAGTTCTTTAATAAGGGCATGCATACATCATTTTGTTTATTAGTAATCATCTAGATAAAAACTTTAAAGCGGAAATTATCGAAATTTATCAATTTAAGAAAATGGCATATTGGACAGTTCTTTCAATAATCATATAAAGAATTTATTTAACATTCCATATATCTAGAATACATTTCATAAATGTTATGAAATCAACCAATATACTATTTATTATACAGTGTGTTATATGATAATTTAAAACAACTGACATACGATATAAAAGATAAGAACAGGCTATGCATTTATAGAAGCGGGTTACGGTTTTGTCACCACAAAAAATGACAATATCATAGAACACTTTGGTTGACTATCTTTAACGCCTGGCGTACAGCAAGAATCCACTAAAAGTAGTAAATCTTCTGTCGGCACTGTTTCCCTCCAAAGGACCACAGGTTACAGCTTCTATCCAAACTGCCTTATCCTTACACACATGAATTATTGCAGTGTTTGTACCTTGTGCATCATGATATGTGTGTCTACCTGATGTATAAATATTAACATATAAATTAATTACAGGTAATTGAAACGTGAAAGTTATGTATTTTAAATACATTTGTTATACACACGGCAACACTTTGTACATGTTTATATAAAACAGAGTACTATATGTGAAAAAGTACATACATAAATTTAAACAGGATGTTTTTTCTGGAGGATTTGATCTGTTTAATTTCTTAACCGTTTGCTAATTAAGAATAATATAAACATATACTAAAGAATATGATTTGAATACAAGTGACAAATTATGTCAATTGACGAAATGACACAAGCTGCCTTTGATTATTACCGTACGGAAGAATAAGTCACCACTAAATGTAATGATATATAAGAAGTGTAAAATGCGTGTACAATAGACTTCATTTTACCTTCTGCAACAGCCCCATTAATAATTTTACCGTCGTACATAAGATTCACTCGGATCTCATTCTTGTTTCTTTGCGCAATGGCGTATGTGAACATGTAAACTCCACTTACTTTTGCCCTAGAATAAATTTATGACACAGATGTAATGTTGGCCATTCTTAAAGCATTACAATACTATTGGTTCTGACAACATTTGATGAAGCTGTTTGTTACCATACAAAGAATGCTATTGCTCGGGATATTTGTTTCTAAAACAAATCAAAAGAAATACATATGCATATATTGTAAGTAGTATGTACCATCTAAGGAAATATTTATCAAGACAACAGTTTTAACAGTATTTTTTAAACTTTTCTTTTTTCCAGATAAACGTTTTAAGCAAACGCAAACTACATACGACAAAGGATAAGATATTAATAAAAATTATATTTCAACCTGAACACTCCTGTGGAAGCTTCATACCCGTCCCCATCATTGAGTAGCACTTTGTCAAACTTCACATGTTGTCCTTTACCAAGATGATTGTATCTTCGGCTTAGATAGGTAGAGAATGCAATTTTATTGTTTCCAAACCAGTGACTCAAACCTGTCTCATCATCTTCTGCTGTTTCGGTTTCTATGTCTGTGATATATAGATATGTGATCCTACATAAATGTCGTTTCATATCGAGTTGATTTTAAGGTATGGGCCCCCTAATGGGCACGATAAGGAACTATAAAATTGACAACATAGGTCAGTTATATACATTAAAAGACACAAAAATGCAAAATTTAAACAAAGTTTACCGTATGATTTACGAGTAATGGAGATTTTTCTTAAGTAAAACTTGGCTATTAGAAACTCTAAATATTCTATTACATAATCATTATGAAAAAATGTTTTCCTAAAGAACATTTTTAAGAAACAAATAATAGCATTCAGCTAACAAATGACCCTGAAAAATTATTGTTTCTACTCAAAATGTTTGAAAAATGTATATAAATGTTACCCTACCCCACCCATTTTAAGTAGTTGTTTGATCATTATCTACTTGGAGGGCCTTATTCAAAATATCCCTAAAATTTACTCAAATCAGGGGCTGTTTATATTTTTTTAGAAGTATATTGGTTGCGCTTGCCAAATATAAAATACTTTTACCGTCTTTACTTTATTAGACTTTGAAAATATCAGGTACCATATTTTATAATATTTGGCACAATTTAGCCAAAAATACCAATAATAATTTTATAATTAAAGTGAAACACTTTTTTCTTATCAAAAGTGATCTCATAGACACAAATTATGTTCAAAGAAAAAAAAAGAAAGAAAGAAAAACAGTTGCCTCGTCTGGGGCTTGAACCCGCGCCCTCAGTTTCAATGCAGTTGACAGTAGTTCTAGCCTATATGAGTACTCTTCAAAGTAGAGGTAATGCATAAGGTGGGTCAAAAACCGAGATTTTTTCTTGGAAATGCAAGTATCAATGCAAATAGTACCAATCGGTGCTTTTAATACCTTTACATTTATATAACTTTTCTATATGATATGGATGGTGGCTGACTTGTGTCATGTCGTATTTTCGCATGCGGGGCGCCTGACGAAAACACTAACATACGACAAAGTTAAGTGAAAACACGAAAATATGATAAAACTTTATCGTGTTTGTGCCTGCGGAGCAAAAGTACGACAAAATGTTGACTTTATAGCTAAACAAATTAACAACCGTTATTTAATGTACGCTGAATACGTCAATGTATAGAAAGTAATAAGTTACATATAATCAATAATATAAATATATAGATCAACTTAAGAAAAACATCTAGATCAGAATGTAAACTTGCGACGTTATTTATTTTTATTATTATTTTTTTTTTAAATAGAAGTAGATACAGTCTTCGCCGACGCCCCGCCATGTTTGTACATTTCGTTGGCAGTGCTTATTAATTCGTTAATAAAGTAAAAAGTCACATTTGCACAAATATTACGCTAGTGTAATATTCTTTTTTATCACACAACCATGCCGATTTTGCGACTCCGTAAAAATGTTATTGCACGGCCGTGCATATGTATTGACGGGACGTCCTTAGCATTATTTGAACATAGCGTTAAGACGCGCACAATGTTAGCGTTAAGCTATAGGCGTATCAATGAAAAATTACTCTTTTTTTACTTCAAACGGTCTTTATTTTGGGTATGTGATAAGAAGAATATTTTATTTGTATAATTTCATTACTTAATTTACCGAACTCGTAGAATGAAACAATATTATGCTCGCCAGAGGCTCGCATAATATATTTTCATTCAACTCGTGCAATAATTCAGTATTGAACGTACACTCATTCGATATCCGCTATTTATCAAACGACATTATTACACTCATGTGTATTTGTGTTTTTGATTATTTAATTTATTAAAACAAATATAAAATAGCGTTTACCAGTTTAAAAATTTGGACAGTTTGCAGTTTTGACATAGAGTTATCGTATGGCTTATACATATTTTACACAGCAATATTTTTACATTATGCATATTGTATTACAAAAATGCTGATTTTGTCAGAAACTGTTAAGAGTGTTTGTAAGAGTGACTGTTTTAATATATGTATCACACATTGCAAGGCCGGGGTCGATATATCAGTTAAACTATATGGTAATATTACCTATTAAAAACAACTCGTTATCATCTAAAATGTATTGTTTTAAAGACGAAATGTTAATAATTTCTTTTAAGGATGTTCGCTTTACCTGATATGTCAGTTTTGAACTGGTGATTTGAATCTGGAGCTACATATTCGCCAGCAATTTGGTTTTCAGCGCTTAGGTGTTCCATCGATCTAGCCGTGGCAGATGCCACCAGAAACAAAACAAATAATGCCATGGTCCACCTAAAAAATATTGATAACTGGTTAAATATTGTTTCATTGTTTTGTTTTTCCGACCGTTTGTAACAACACATTACTGATTCATGAAAATACAAGTTAGTTTTATATTCCTTGTGTTTCTTTATGTTCAACTCTTTTCAAGAATCTCTTGAAAATACTTGAATTAAAATCGTTTTGAATTGAGGACACAACAAAAATAACAATGTATGATTTCAAAGGAAGATAAAATTGTATGCGTCTTTAGAAATGATCTCTCTTGGTTTTAAGACTGTACTGGTTCATGCACATGTACAATTGAAACCACGTAGCAAAACTTTCAGGTGAAGGAAGGAAATCCTCCACCCCCATCCCCTACACCCCAACAGATGATAAAAAACATTTGTTTGATAGCGTTCTATCTTTAATTTCATCACCAACAATACCAGTCAATATCGTTCTTCAGATTTCATTTTAAACACAGCATTTTACAAAAAAACTACTTTCATTTAAAAAAACAACATTTTTTATAAAACGTGTTTTTAAATAATAAGTTTACAAATTTCTGCAGATATTTGCAATTTCACTAATTGCATTTTAAATCAATAAAATGTATGTACTTACGTGCTGGGTTGTTTAGCTCTGACTTACACCAATATCAAAGTGACCGTCAATTTTATTTTATTAATCAGTAAGTGGGCGGTAAAACATGTCATTGAAAAGGTCATTGAGTTTTGGATATATTGATGATTAAGATCGAACGTTTGATGAAGATTTCTCCGATAAAATGTGTTTCCTGTTGAAAAAGATTATGGGTTTTGTTCAATTAGATTGTTTCCGAAAACAATAAACTAATTACAAAATGAAAAACCACATCGAAATTTCAGAAAACATTTTAAAACAATTAAACTTTTGAATGACAGTTTATTTATATGCATCATAACATATATTTGCTTTTATTACGCAGATTATATCACTAGTAAACATTTAAACACCGAAAAACAAACTTATTAGTTTACGACGGTACAACTTTAGCAACTAGCTGACCAAATGAAAGCGGGCCTATATGAACAACATTCACATTGTTACCGTTGTATTTGTGAACATTTGTCGATGGCAGATGAAATATAAATTAATGTTTTCCAGTCAATTGATATAATGCTCATAATTTTATATATTTTTACATTTTTGCATATTAATCAAGTATTTATAAAAAAATAATTGCCTTACCGACTGTGTACATATTGGTGTAAGAAATTGAGTTCACTTACCGAAACACGACAGGTTTGTTTAGACACAATACATCTTAAAGCGTTTCATTTCTCAAGATTAATAACCCTACAAGAAATTATTATGTCATTGTTATGTAAGCAATGCTAACATTTCTATATGAGTGCATGGAAAACAACAACTAACATATGCAAGTTATCCAGTTTTATTTCGGCCGAGTATCTTTTTTTAAAGATACTTCGTGTTTATTATTACCTCTTTATATTTCGCATTTATTGCATGTTATAAAATCACGGTTGATGAATGCAAATTGACTAATGATTTACTCTAAAATCTATGTATTCTTGCATATCAGACAGGATTATCTATAGTTTACAACCGTGTAAATCAAGTAGCATGCTTAAATTAACGTTATCCTCGTGCAAATCTATGAAAAATATACTCAATTATATATTGTTCATACTTGGGAACATAGCAGACCTTGACTCATTATCGAAAATAATCAAATTGTGGTTATAATACTTTACTATGCTCTTAACATTCAACAGGATCCGTAACACTATCACTCGGAAACACGTACCAGGCACTTAATATAGCGGCTCTTATCAAATTAAATTTTATAAATAACGATCTATAAGGGCATTTTCAAGAGTATGTGAAGAGTTGGGATTCGTTTAGAGAAATGAAAATTGCTGAATTGGTTTGACTGTGGCCGTTGATCCAGAAAGATAATATAAATCATACTTAAGGCTTGATCATAATGAACTTAAAACTGATGACATCGCTAGACAGGTCATTACAAACAAAAGATAAAATAGACGATACATCAAGAGACGAGTATACTGTCAAACAGAAACATTGAGATTTAATTACGGTTAACACTTGCACAAAAAATGAAATATCAATTTTAAATATTGTCAAATGAAATTTGGGCACTAATATGAGTATATGCATCTATTGAATTATTCAATATAAGTCAAATATAAATTATTATAAACTAAATCGATTACAAGAAAAAATGGAGAAGTAATGAAAACCAAGTTTGCTTAGTCGGTCGCCATGATTTTATTTAAAAATAGAAGTTAGCAATATTTTAAATCGTCAATATAAACGATCGTTTAGAGAAAATGAAAAGTGCAAGCATTGTTCGACCTTCACTGGCTGCCCATCAAATCTAGAATCGAACATAAAATTCTGACTTTTGTATACAATTGTTCAATCGGTCATGCTCCAAAATACCTTTCTGAACTCCTAACCAAACAAGTACCAAATACCCGACTACGTTCAGCTAAAACCTCTGAGAACTGCTACGTTATTCCATTCAATAAAAGAAAAACATTTAGTGACAGAAGTTTCGGAACTATTGGTTCAAAATTGTGGAATCCGCTGCCATTAGAGTTGAAACAATCTTTTGTTTGTTTGTTTGTTTGTTTCATTTTACGCCTTTTTCCAACAGTATTTCAGTCATATAGGCGGGTAGTTTCCTAACCATCGTTCCTTGAAACAATCTAAAAATATTGATGTATTTAAGAGAAATCTTAAAACACATTTTTTTCAGAAAGTTTGAATCACTATTTTAAAATCTGAAATGAGATAAACATGAGTAACGTATAACTGATGACTGACAGTGTGATGAATGTGCAATGTAAATGAATGTTTTGTTCTTTTTAATCTATTTGTAATCAAGTTACATGTATGTAAATAATCTTATATCATGCTACATGTATATCAGTTTTATCATTTTAAGGTCTCTAAATTTTTTTTAAAAATATGTTAATTGGAATTGTATGTTAAAGCTTTTATTTCATTTGATGTTGATTCTTATTATATTATATGTACTGTACAACGCCGTTGAATATTGTTAAATAGAAACAGGCGTTTAATTAAATAAAAAGTTTCAAGTTTCAAGTTTCAATCGTTTAATTTGTTATAACGCCATTTGTTTCAACACATATCTGCTATTTTGTTTATTTCTTGAATGCTATTGATTGAAAGTCAATCATTTCATTGTGGTGTGCAAGTTTTCATCAACACCAAAACCTGAAAAAAACAGTGATCCATTGGAAGCCTAAAAAAACAAACAAATGACATAAAAATTGCAGGCGCGGTTTGGTTGAGTCTGTATATAAAGGATAATAAAAATTGCAAAATCCCTTTCGCCCCCAAGTCGCATACTAGTTAATTTCAGTTAGAAGTTACTCGTAAACATATACACATGTGCCTAAATGTACCGTCCACAACAGCTTCATCGATAATTAAACATCGTTAATTACAATAACTCGGAGAATGTGTTACTAATGTGCTTAAACGAACATTATATTAGAATAAAAAATATTCCTGTTTACATATAGGAATAGATAAACAATATTCGGGAGAAATCATTAACAATCATATAAATGAACTATTGCTTCTACAGCATACTTCCGTACCTTCAGGGGCATAATTTTCCATTTGTAATTCACAAAAGTGTCAGGGATAATGTGTTTAAACGGATTTATTATTTCAATCAGAAATGTTTCAATTGACATATTAAAATAGAGAAATAATTTTTGAGAGAAATCATTACCAATAATTTAAATGTATTATTGCTTCGAAAGAAAATTTCCGTAACTTCTTATGATACAATTGATTTCCGTAACAAAATAACATAATTAGTAGTCATACAGCTGGAAACGATTTAAAAAGCATAATTGAGAATATTTCAGCAGTCATATAACTTATCTGCGTTGTGACAAAAACACAATTTATCCCAAAAATGAACGCCGCTCGTCGAGGTGTCCTTGTTCAAAAAGAGCAACAACTTTGTTATAAAGCTGTATCATTATTTCTGCATGTTTTCTCCCTTAATATATATCATGCTTGCATTTGATATTGGCATCAAGAGCGTTTCATATTCTCAGGCATATGTTTTTAAAACAAAAACAATTAGAGAGACCGAAGAATATATCAAATCATTTGTATATAAAATTTTCAATAATTAATCATTGAAAACAAGTTTATCTGTTACGACCAATTTTAATTCGCGTCATAGGTTTGCATATTAAAAAATTTTATAACTTATAATTGATATTAATTCCTTTATTCAATTCTTTTTACAATTAAATTAATGTATGAAATCGTAAGTCATGTATTCATTGAACACTTGTCGGCTATTTTAAACTATATGTATTTTTAAGGGAAAATAAGAAGAATTTAATTATTTGACCTTTTTGTGCTTTCGCAAAATTTGTAAGAAGTCTTTATGACTGATGAGACATATTTACCCCGTATGAAGCTTGGGATAAAACTGATATCAAATTAATTTACAAAATTTGTCGGGATTATCAATATCATTTTGCAAGAATGTCTATAACTGATCTAATTTTTGGGGTGCTTTTTAAAGCTTTTAATTTTTGTCGATTTGTCTATGCAAGACAAATTTTTTTTATTATTTGTTAGTGCTTTTTTGATAGTTCATAATCTTTTGTCAAGATAGCTATGCAATTTGAACACCTGTTTTAATATTTAAGTTTGGAAAACGGCACGTTTAAAAATCGAATATTGGGGCCGGAGCGAAATTTCCCGTAAGGAGCGGTACATTTTTCTATTTAACGATGAGACATGCAATTTAACAATTCTTTCGCTACATAAAAGATTAAGTTAGTTGGGCAGTACAAAAACGCCATAAAACTTTCACCTGCGAATTTGTCAAACGTGACCTTGTTAAATTCTGGGGGATTCCGTTGCGGCTGCATAAAAATATCATATTTCAAGGTCATATACCACCGTGTTTGGGGCGAATGTTGAAAACTGTTTAATAATTTTGTTTCTATTAATTTTGCTTGATGCGTAAATTAAAGCAACAAGCATGCTAGTATTTGGGGGAATATATTATAGAAGCTTTTGTCTACTTCCATTTGTAATTACATATAATTTACCTAAGAAATGGTTTTTAAATTTAAATGAAAGTTAGCCTTAATAAATCTGTAATTATATTTGATATTTTTGTTACGTGGACTATTCTTTTAAAAAATAAGGATAATTTCAAAGATCATAACTGGGGTTATTTACGTTAAGAACTGATGTTTCCCATGATTTGTGTGAACCAGCCGAATTTTATGTGTAAAATCAAATTGTAGTGAGCTAATAATAATGTTTAGTAAATACGATTTTTTGTGTCGAAATGTTGAAGTACATATAAGCATCTTTTAAGAATGAAACTGAATAATATAGTTCATTTAAACTTGATATTAGAAAATGATAGCCAAAATATCCTACAAAAAAAACAACAACCCATTTAAGGGTAATTGAGCTCGTCTTCTGTCGTTGAATTTTAAAACTTGTGCTTATTTTAGGGCAGACAAATCACTATCAAGGTTGGCAAAAAATGTCTAATTTTCTAAAAATATCTACTTTTCTAATTAATAAGATGAGATCATTTAAATATTTCGGATAAATATTAAAGACTGTATTGTTAATTGAATATTTTTCGTGACCCTTTTAAAACCATGAGTATTTTTTATTATAACTAAACAAACAATGACAATAAACAATTCATAAAATAGAAGAT